AATATTTTAAAAACAAAACAATAGTTTATTTTTGAGAAATCAATCAAAAAGTAACAAAAATTTTACCCCACAAAAATTATCATACACTTAAATGTTTTCAGATATTAGAATAAAAATTATTGTCTATTGCTTTAATTTTTTTATTCAATTATTTTTCATTTAATTGCTTGTTCATTTGCAATTTAGTATGGAACTTATGATAGCAAAATTATATCTTTAATTTTTACTAGCTAACTCAGTAATATTTTCTTTTAACATTTAAAAACGGCTCATAGTCGTAATAAAACAATAAACAACATTTGAAAGTTGATTACTTGTCATCACACCAGGTAAGTCAGTAATGCATATTGCTAAATTAGTTTATTGTGTCCTATTCCACAGTGTATTATGATAAAATGCTTAAAAGAACAACTTCATATGAGAGAATAAAATTAAACAATTTGTGGAAAAATTCATAAATTCACAATTGGGTGTTATAAAAGCTTCTGTAAAATTTAATAAATATTCTACTCAAAACTTCCCCCTGACAAAGAAAAAAAAAGTTACATTTATTTATAGACTTTTAAAAGTTATTGTAGATACGAAAAGAAACTATACTGAATGTTATTTTAAAAAAAAAAATTAGAATATTTACTACAGGAGGATAAACTATGACTTTTGCGAAATAAAGTTTTTGTTACTTTTTGATGATTGATTTCTTAAAAATAAACTTTTGCTTTGTTTAAAATATTCAATACAGTTTAGCTAAGAATAGAATATATTTTTTAATATTTAATATCCATTCTGAAATATTCATTTTAATTAAAGGATAGTCTTATTTCATTGAAAGTCATACGTGTACGAACACTTTTGTGAGTCACTGTATTTACATTTCAATATAAAGCCATTTTATACTGTATTTAATCTAAACAGTGTTTTTTATAAAAATCATTGATCATATTTTCTATAAATCAATATCTTAAGTCAAATTTTTAGATAGTAATATTGTTTTTAATAAAATATTATTTAACCCCTTCCTTCTCGCTCCCGTGAAAATGACGGGGTGAGATTTTGCCCGCTATTTCTCGCTCCCGTGATATTGACGGACTGGAGTGTTCAGTAGTAAAGCGCCAATAAGAATAAAACTAATTCATTTCTTTTGCCCGGAAAGCATTTTATTTCTCATTTTACGCATCTGACGGCAGTACCAGGATATTTTTAAGGGAATTGTAGACAGTTAGTTTATTTCAAACTAGTTGCAGCACTAATCAAATACGTAATACATAAACAAAAGCCAAAAAAAATAGGCACTTTTATGACCGTTTTCTTGAAAATTAACCGATCATTAAGGGGCTCAGTATACAAAAATGAGCGTCGCAAATGCAAAATTGTCTAATTTTTTGTCGCATACTCAATAGAAAAAAAAAGTTACAATTCTATAAATTTTATACTTTTGTTTTTTTTTTCTTATTTGAAATTAAAATATTTAAAAAATTCCAATCTAAACACATGGTTTTTCAGTATAGCAAAGTTAATTGTTTTCGTTTTTACAACTAGAAACTTACACCTGTTCAGTGCCGAACAAAATAACAAAGTTTCGTTTTCCTTCTTCCTAATAAACACATATGAATTAAAAAAAAGTTATATTTTACGCTTCTACATCATTTAATATATTTCCAATCCATTTCTTAGTCTTTGTTGGCTTTTTAGGGTAAAAGGCAGGGGCGGATAAAGCGTACGAGTGGCCCTAGGCCATTCAAATTTTTGGGGCCCTTAGATTAAATTTTTTTCTAGGATATTTTTTATTTATTCAAATATAAAAGTATTTATATATCTTTTCATTTAAGAAAGCATATTTAAAATTAAAATAAATAATATCCTGGACCTCTTAAATATTAATATAATATATTGATATAATAATATAACTATTTCATATAATAATATAACTTAAATATTAATATAACTATTTCAATATATAAAATTTGATTGAAAGTTACCAGTTGTTTGAGTTTTTTCTAGAGTATATAAAACAATAAACAAACACTTACCTTTTAGTAAAATATTTTGTAATTATTTATTGATGAAATAGAATTACGGACACTAAAAAATTATGAGGCACTAAATAACTTCTTTCTCATTTATAACATCTCAATAATGTCAACAACATTTAATTCTTTGATTCTTGTTTAAACAAGTCTCAGCTCGCCATAGCTTCAATTTTTCGCTTTCAATTTTTTCGAGGGCAAATCAAAAGGACAAATTTGAACTTAAAAAACATTGATAAATATTATGATACATAAACTATAATAATACTTATAAATAATAACTAAAATAAGTAATAAATAAATCTGTAAAAAATTATGTAAAAAAAAAATTATTTTATTAATATATATTTGAAATTGATTTTTTTTTAAAAAAATCATTGTTTTTCTTAATTTTTTTAAATTTATTTTCAAAGAATTTTTTTAAGGGGGCCCCCAGGCCATGGCCCAGTCTGGCCCAATGGGTAATCCGGCACTGGTAAAAGGAGAAATAGCTTTGGAAACATCATCTCTGGAATACAAACAACATTTATGAACTTTCAATGTTGTGATTTTAATTACTATACAATTCGAATATTGAATCAAAAATCAAATATTTAACAAAAAGACAGTAAAATCAAATATTAATATATAATTAGTTCTTGAAAAAGCTTTTTCTTAAAATTAAAATTTGTTATTAAAGGATAAAATGTAATTGAGAAAATTAGTATTAATGAAACAACTGCAACGATTTGTCGACAAACATTGCTGTTAGGGATTCTATGAAAATTTGTGAACGGTTGGCTTTACTGAGAAAAAATTATTCACAGATTTCTTTGGATGGGAGTAAATTTTTTTTTTTTTTTTTAAATTGAAGAAAAAATATCCAACTTTTCTTCAAAATTTGCTGATATTTCCAGCATAAAGAAATTCCCTGATAATTCCAGGTTTTCAAGGTGGGTGGTCACCCTGTATGTATATATATATATAATAAATACAAGAAAACGCGAAGAAAGTTAAGAAAAACAATAAGTTTCATTNTTATCGAAAACAGAAGGCGATGTGTTACAAAAATTTATAAACTACAACTTGTCTTCTCTTGAAAACGTTGCAGAATTTCGACTTATTTGTCGTAGTTGCATAGAGCATGCACTGAATAGTGGTTTATTCGAAAGTGCCACCTTGCTTTTGAATGAATCTTTTGATAATATCAACGAAATGAAGCGATACAAAAACGAACTTATACTATCTGAGACAGGAATCAAAAAGTTTCTGCTCTTAAATGAATCACTAACTGATGATGACTGGATTCATGTGGAAGAAATTGTAATGTGGTCGTCGCCTCTCACCCTAAATACAGTCACAAAATTAAAGTCACTAATTCTGGAGCAAAAGACTAGTCACTCTGTCCAAGATGAATTGAATCCACAGATTTCAGCTCCCCTTGATTTACTGGAGAATGTTGCTGAGAAAGATATCAGATGGTGGTTGAAAATTTTTTTGCCCTCAAAAATGAATTTAAATAAAATCATGTTCACTGTCATAAGACAAATCATGTTCACTGTCATAAGACAAATCATGTTCACTGGGTAATCTTTATCTGAAGATGAATTGTTTTGTAATAAATATGTAACTCCAATTTTGAGTGTTAGTTGTTTAATGTTAATGAAACAATTTCCCCTATATATTATTTGTCACAACTTTAATCATTAATTTAATTGTCACAACTTTATTATTTTTATTTTGGCTATATCTTAAGAAAAACCAGCAATTTTACGTGGTTAATATTTCCTCGCTATTCCCAAAAGACAGTCACCCGAAAGATATATATAGATATATACAAGGTAATAATATATTGTACTGGGTAATTCAATGTTTATAATTAATAAAATGTCGAATTTTTAATACAACATTTTAATTCGATGATTTTTATAAAATCTAAAAACTTTTATTGAATAATATTAATTATTTAATTGAATATTTGATCAGATTGTTCGTAAGTTAAAAATACTTTAGTCACGGAATTTTAGCCGAATCGGTTTTTGTACATGAAAAATTATCAATATTGATAGCTAAAAGACTCTTTCTCTCTCTTTGTGTATATAAATATATATATACAACAAAATAAATAAATACAAGAAAACACGTAGAAAGTTAAGAAAAACATGTCTATAATTTTTCTTTGTTTTATTCTTCATTTTGAACTTATATATATATATATATATACACATATATATAGACCAAGGAAGAAAAATATTTTATATCCATAAAAGCTGAATCGGAGAAAAGAAACTTTTTGCACAAGGAAAGGATTGGCTTTTCCATAGTTATACCCCATCTTTGCTGTGTAACCAACTGCTTACATTATTGATTTGTCAAAATGTAGTAATCCTCAAAATGCAAGCCGTGGTGTCTTAGAGTATGGAACGCTTGTTTCTCAATGAAGTGACTTTGGTTTGAATTCCAGGTCGATATGAATTCCACACCCGTCTCGCACTGACAACAGTGCCAACATAAAATATCCTCAGTAGTAGATGGATTATAGGTCAGAGTCCCCTTGCTATCAGGCTAATCGTGGGAGGTTTTCGTGATTTTCTCTTCATGTAATGCAAATGGGGATAAGTTCTATCAAAAAGTCCCCCATGAAGGTAAATGTCTCCCAATAGTTGATCCAAGAGTTCCCTTATCTTCTGGATTAGATTCAAAATTACAAGGCCAGAGATGAACAGTGGTAGTCATTAATTAAAAATTGGGTATGTACAACAACGGTTATAAATAAATCCTTAAAATGCAACAGATGGCATTCCAAACAACATTTTCTTGAAAAATGGACATTAACTATTCTTCCCCCTTGGTCTCCATACATACACACATTATTTATTTATTTATTTATATAAATATATATATATAATTGAGATTATAGTGAAATAAAACTAAAAATTGAAATTTATTTAAAAAGGAAATGCACCTAAAGAAAGAGAAATAGTAGTAAAAACCTACGTTTTCATCTGCATCAGCAATTTCTTCTGTACACAACTGACAGTCAGAATAGGATACTTTCACGAAGCTGCGATTAGCTTTCTGAGATGCTGTCTCAAGTGCCAAACCATTTGAATCTACTTTAATTACATGACGAACAGTATCTTTCACTTGTGATAACATCAGTCTATTTCTTTGCAGTTCTTTTTCTAAGTTTTCTAATCTTTTTTCTAAAAGAGATAGCTCACCCTAGAAAGAAAAAATTACAACTGAATTACCCTAAAATTGCAACTTAATTAACAGTAAATCAAGAAAGTGCATATTATGTATCAAAATTAGATGCAGTGAAAATTTTTGTTGCAGGGTTCCCACAGTCTGGAATTTTTTTTTTTTTTTTTTTTGGTAGCAAAAGTGAGATATAGCTAGATGTTTTAAGCTCTCTCTCTAGCAATATTTAATTTAAAAGAAATATATATGGGTGCAAACAATAACTCAGGTATAATTTCATAATTCACAAATAAAAGATAAATTAAGGCATTTTACAGTAGTCTTGAAAATTCTTAGTTACAACTCATTTTTTCTAGGTTATGGAAAACCTGTAGTTGAGATTTGAAGAAGTTACTGAACTTACTAGTGCTGCCATGTTAAAAGAAAAACTAAATCAAGATAACAGCCTTTATAAATAGATCACATCTCATTCTAGTTTTTATTAAAAATTATAACATTTGATAGTTTTTATACTGAATTTTAATACAATAGACACCATTTAATTATAACGCTAACACTCAAAAAGAAGGTTTGTGATTTGCTGACAAGGGAAAGTGGGATATAATGAGAAATGCTTCTACATAACAACCTATGCGAGAAATTTCAGCAACGATAGTGAACACATCATGGCATGTGACAAAAGCTGTTTCAATAAGAATGTATCTAAAATAGATGGCAAGAAAAAAAATGTCAAACACCAAGTGCAGATGCACCTGACGAATCAGTTCCACATTCACAATGTTATCATATTTTTAAAATAAAATGATTTTTTTTACATATCTAAGTACAGTAAAAATAAAGAATATACCCATAACAGTACCTACTCATGGCAAGGGGCAACGGCCTGTTCCTTTAAACTATTGTTAAAAAAATATATTGGCATGGCTGCATTTAGATACAAGTTGTACCCCTTAAATTTGTTACATTTCGTGATTTATCTTTTAGTTTCTCTCATATCACTAGTTGTCCCCAAAGCTTTGTGGAAATTTTGGCACTCTATACTGATATGGAAATTTTCTTACAAACTGGGCTGGTATTAAGACATAGTGACTTAAGCAATATTTCTATGGGTAAAAAAATAAATAACCCTTATGCAACAACTTTTTGTGGACCAGAGAAGCCATGGAGGATAATGCTCCAAAATTTGGTCCCCAACATTGTTGCATGTGCCATATTTACTTTTCAAACAAGCTGATACCACTTTGTTCAAGTCTTAATGATGGCAGCTCAGGACCTTAACCACTGTAGCTCATGTTAAAATGCTTAAGCTTTGAAAAAAAATTTATAATGCATAGTTTAGCATTTAGAAGTGATCAATAAAAATTTATTATAAAATTCAATAAAATTTCTTATTTAAAGCAAATAAAATTGTTTAAAAAGTTCTTGTTCAACTTTTTAAAGAACCTAAAGCAGCGGTTTCCAATTTTTTTCACCTATAGACCTCAAAATGATCACCTTTCTTTGTGCGACACCTAACTTCACAAATTAAATTCATTAGCAATTGTGAATACATTAACCAATTGTACTATTAATTATTTTTTTTTCCAATGACAGGCACTGAATTTGAATCTTTGCCCATGAAGATGCCAGAATTATGTACTATTAATTATATTGAATGGACAATTGTTTTGAAAATATTTAATCAGAAGAAAGATATTTTTTGTTTTACGAATAATAATTCTAAAATTAGACTTTACATCAGACAACTGAGTTTGTAAGGCTGAAACAACATCTAGTATAGTTTTGAATTATTTTTAGAATTTGCATAAGCTTAAAATAAATAAAACAAGCTGAATTCTTGTTTTTGTAAATTGGAAGGGAAAAACAAATGTTACGCACATTGATAATGGTTATCAGGAAAATTAATTTCTATATTAATGAATATAGTTATTTTACTTTGAATTGAGAAGTTCGATGAAAAATAATTACATTTTCTTACAAATGGGTCTCTTTTTCATAACTTACTCTATGTAAAATTATTAGAATAATTATACATATTTTTAAATCTTGCTATTTTTTTCTCACTGACATTTCACTCACATAATTTCTCAAAAATAGCCAAAATATTAATTAAATAATGGAATATTGATTAGTTATGATTGAAATACCAAGTTTAAGAACCATAACCTCATTATGGATTTTCAAATTCATGACTTTCTAAGACTAATTACATGAATATTTCATGACCTTACGAAGTTACTATTTTCCCCGACAAAAACACAACAATGAATTTGAAAAAGCATTATAATAACATTAATTAAAATGATAGGTATAACCAAAACTGTTATACAGTAGGGAACCGATTATCCGGAATGATCGGGACCATCGCTATTCCGGATAATTGATTTTTCCGGCTTTTTGCATCGCTACAAAAAGCCGTTTTTTTAATTGTTAAACCAAACTGAAAAAAAAAAACATTTGGATATAATCTTAAAGAAGAAAAAACGATGAAGTAATACACTAATGATTATTTCCAAAATGATGGTAAGGTAAACATCTTTCAAAAAAGAAAGGAAAATCCTAAAATCTTATGAGGAAGAAGAATTTTTTTTTTAAAAATGGCGGGAAAATTTATCGAATTTCGTTCCGGTTTTTTGGTTTTCCGGTATTCTGATTTCCGGATAACGGGTCCTGTACTGTACTCTGCATCTTCCTATTTATAGATTTTAAATTTAAAAATCAGAGTAAAGAAAGAGTTGAAGCAAAGAAATAGCTGAAAAAAACACAAAAGCAAATAATTTTTTTTCTGCAGAATTATATTCTAAAGATATTTTCTTGTTCATCGAAAAGGAAAAAAAGAAAAAAATATTTAAATTGATAAAATAAAAAATTATAACAAAAATTCTGGAATCACAGAAGTTTAAAAGACAATTCACTCTAGAAATGATGTATTTTCTTTCACTTTTTGAAAGAACACCATAATTTTTAAAGAACATGATAAAAACACTTCATATTTTAATAAAATATGACTGTGAGTGGGGATTTTGTTACAAATTCAGATATTCACTACACCATGAAATGGGGGGAGGTAAATTCCATTTTAAAAATTAGATTCCTTGGCGACCTAAATTCATGACTTTCAATGATTTTTTTAAAAAAAAAGGTAAAATCATAATATTTCATGACAAATTTTGTGCAATGCTAAAATTCATGACTTTCCAGGTGCATATATGACAAATCCTGATACCCTGCATATATGACAAAACCTGATTACATATATAAAAATGCATAGAATGACTAGGCAATTTTATACTGTGGAAAGTAGAATATTCTTGTGGATTATGCTTCTTTTTAAAAAGATATGTGATGCTTAAGTTAAGTCATATTTTTTCCTTGCTTAATAAAAGTTCTTTGCAAGTTCACAGATGAGTTTTTCATTATGCTTGCTTAGCATTTTCCACTATGCACTCAACTATTCTAGCAAAATTTATAATAAAAGGATGTTATATACCGTTCTTTAACTTTTTAAAAAGTAAGCCAATCTAAATTGATCCTACATTATTAATTATATGCAAGTTTATGAGAAGTAAATTATTGAAATTACAATTATTTTCCAATAAGTTTTAAATACGTATAATTTCCAAAAATGTCTTATTTCATGAGTAGTGTAACTTTTTATGAGCACAAAGTTTAATCACAGATAAACTTTAACAATTGGGAATATCAAACAAAATAACTATGAAAGAGGCTGTCAATTTTAAATTCTTGGCTCTCATTTTATAAAAAGTATTATGTTTTTATGACAGCGTGAAATGTAAACACACATCAAAAAATTTTGGAGTATTGCAATCTACAATACGTATGGTTTTATACAAGGAGCAAAAAGAGATAATATATTACAGTGGATAACATTAGAAAAAGATAATGTTTCAATGGGCAATATGCAAGAAGGGGAGACAATTTTTGTGATTAATTTTTCACTTTTTAAAAGCTACAGTAAATTTCGGCACCTTGTTTACATCAGAGGGTGAAGGAGAACTTGGTTTATCAGGAAAATTACTTGACATAATTCGAAAAAGAATATACAATATTAAAAGAACAACAATTGCTCGTAGAGAACTTATCAAAATAGTTGATCTGCGACATTGAAAGACAGAGGTTCCGAGTCGAAATCTAAACATCACGATGATAAACAAAAATAATTGGGAAGACAAAATTGACAGCACACAACAACTACTCTACTATGATATGAATATAGTGATTTCAAAACTATTCATAATGTAAACAAATTCATGTTCGTGCCAAACGTGACGTTTCATAGGAAATCCGAAAGGTAGTGACGTACCGGATAAACGAAAATATATAAGTTGGCAACAGTAATTTAAGAGGTAAATGCTAGGTGAAAGGCGCAAAAATACCGTATCACTTCCCAAATTGAATTTCTTGAATGTACAGGATCGTTTCCACTGACGCAGTTTCTACTGATTTTGCGCGTTCTTGTAAAAGGGGAATTAAGATAACGAGTTGTGATAAGATCACTGACAGACCCAATAAACAGAACTGATCCCGAGTCCCAATTATAACTGTCTTCTCTCACTTCTGGTTCTGGACAATTCCATGTTATATTTATATAAAATAAGCTATTTTCAGCCAAAAAAAGGTCCTCCGCATGATAGGGCCATGCACTACCACCCATTAATAAACGATATCTGAACCAACTGAACCCTTAAAAATGTAAAAAGGAGTTACATGAACTCATCTCTATACTTAAGGCAAAAACGGTGCTTATTTCTAAGACAAGGGGACCAGACATACTATTCCAGACCCGAACAGGGGAAAAAAATGTAAAGAATCATTGATACTTTCAGTATTAAATTACCAAGACTAGGGACACGCGACATTCCCTCCAATGTCCGAAAAAAAATCGATCATTATGGAAGAGAAAATTTCATGGTCTGGAGGTATCACGCAGGAGAGTCAAGCGACCCCCTCCCATCTCTTTAAAAGTGGCTCTGTTATTGATGTGTCTAAAGCGATGTGTTTTCGTAGTCCAATGTTTTTTCCTTTTCTTCAGAGGTCAATTTGATTCCGATTTCACTTCATTGGATAATAGTACGGATAATACCACATAGACCACAAATCATGCACAGCATTTTCTGGAATGTGAAGATATTCGCCGGAAAGATTGGCCACCTAGATCTCCAGACCTGAATCTGATAGAGACATTTAAGACTATCTTGGTAACCAAATAGCTGCTTTAAGTCCTTCTCGACTGTCGCTACATGAAAATAAATAAGATTTTCTCCGTGCCTAATCTTTGTGGCCGAATGGTGGCATCGAACACTTTTCCACCTAAAACTGTGTTGTACTCTACTTTCTGAGATTGAATTTTTCTGGGAAGTTTTCTTTCTTTGTTGTAAATCATAGTTGTGTTTAAATTTTTCCAAATTTCCATGGGGAATCGATGAAGAATCGTTAAGTGCTCATTTCCTTCAAATTTCTTGTTTCATTGTTCTATCGTTTTGAAGTCAAACACGAAAAAACTGCTGCACCTTAATTTTTGGAGGGCAGTGTTTGTGCAGTACCGTAACTGTAGGATTCAATGGTGTTCAAGGATCTCCGTATTATTTCTTTAGATTTTGAGGGAGGTTCTCGCTAAAGAAGATTATTGAGAGAAAAAATGTGCTTTGACACTAGATTAATAAGAGCATTTTATAGTTTTTCAAATACATAATTATTTTGATCCGATAATTGGTTTTTCTGTTGTAGTTTTCATAGGTCAAAGATACCACTTCAAAAATATAGAAAAATTAGAGCTAAAAATTAATTAATCAGAAAAATCGAACTTTTAAACACGTTAATTTGGTTAAAGTATTTTTTTCAACTGTTAAAGCGTTTGACACTCAGAATAACCTTTATCTCCTCAATTTACCTTATTAATTAATTGTACGATTGTGAACTCAAAGCAATTTTTGTTTCTTAAATAGTAATTAATATAAAGGTTTGATAAATTTATTTTTGACAAAAAAAAAATCCATTAGTGCGAAGATTATCGAGCACCCTGTACATTTGAGGATGTGTAGAGTATGGTTTGGAAATTTCCCTAAAAATTTATAGGCTATAATGATTTAGATCAGTGATTCTCAACCCTTTTTTGGGGGCGGCACACTTTTAACGATTTCGAAATTTGACGGCACACAATGAAAACAATTAGTTTAAAAGCTGTTTACTTAACTATAATACACTGTGTTAAATAGTTTGTGATTATAATTTTGAATGTGAAATGAGATATGTACTACAAAAGCATGTTTATTAAGGGATTAATTATTTCTTTCGACTAATTTTTTATTAGTTAGTAATAGTAATTTATTTTTTGTTGCTAATTAATTATTGGCTTGTTTTCTATAGCTATTAACTGTTAATTTTTTTGTGATTTCTTGTTGACTAGTTTTTTTTGCTGATTATTAATTATTAGCTTATTTTTTTTGTCAGTTATCCTTTGTTAAATTTTTATAACTATTAATTGCATAGCTTACTTTAATGATTAGCTTTTATTTCCGTTTGAAAGTCAATATTTAGCTTGCTTTCCTTTGTTAATTAATAATTTTAATAGTCAGTAAATTTTCTACTTATTTCATCATTTTTTAAAATTGTCAAAGACAATTTAAACACTTCCTTCTTATTTTAACTTATGATAGGATTGTCAGAGATAAGACAATCGCCGACAAAGATGTTCACGCTGTTAAAGCGTGGAAAAATTATAAAATGTATCTGTATATATATATATAATATTATATATATAAGTACTTTTCTTTAATTCAGACTTTACTCGTAATAAAGAAAAAACATTTTAATTTTTACTGTATCATTTCTAATATTTGGCGGCACATTTTAAGAATTTGACGGCACACAAAAGTGCCGCGGCACAGTGGTTGAGAATCACTGATTTAGATACATGGCAGCAATACAAAAAAAAATTTTTTTAGTATGCATTGTATAAATTTTTAAATTTTGTGCTCGAAAAGTTAACTTCATATAGTTTTATACAGATAATTAAGTGATCACCAGATATTTTGTTTCAAGCTGGTTTTGGTAGTAGCAAGAATATTTGATTTATTTTTATTTCTTATATAGTAATAAAGCGGAATATATTTTAATAAAAACAGAAATCTTTTAAGCATGATAATTTATATATCCATAGAAATTTAATAAGTCTGTTTTTATATCGAAAATCTAAAAGTGATAAGATACAAAGTATTATTCAATTTGTGTAAAAGTGTTTAACGTTTGTTTTCACGGCAGGCCGAACAATAGTAAGAACATCTGCAAATGGTAGAAATACAAACTAATTTAACAAAAGCTGATTCTTATTGTGTTTCAGATAAAATAGAATAAGGCAGATGGCAAGGAAATGAGCGAAACACTTGTTCAACATTCTCAAATTGATAAAACAGATAATAAATATCTTTCTTCCTTTTTTTTTTTTTTTTTTTAAAGATCTTTTATTTACTTTGTATATTTTTCCCTCGAACTAATTTTATGATAATATTTAATTTGTGATTATTGCTAGATAATTTATAAATAACAATACATTATGTTTCCGTTGCAATTTTTAATGTTAAATTAAATCAATTTAATTACGTATACTTAGCCATGCAATTTTTAAACTTTTATAGTTTTATTTGCATCTCAATTATTCTATGGTCAGACTCGTTGCCAGGGTGGGTGGGGGAGGGAAGCAGATGAGACCGAGCCCAATCTAGGTGAGGCATTTGTCCCCTCGAAGATTTAAAAAAAAAATTATATAAAATAATGATTTATGCCAGTTAATAAATTATTTATTCTAATTCATACCTTTATTTCTACTTATATTTACTAACAAACGATTATAGAAGATATATACCAAATTTAAGCTAAAAAATTAAAAAAATGTAAAATGCAACCGATCAGCCTCATTCAGGATTGAGTGTTCCTCCTGCTGAAGTCCCAATTCATAATTATTTTTCGTTCTAATTTTTTTAATATATTAACAGTTAAACAGTAATATAAAGTTAAGTATTAAAAAAATCTTTTAATTAATTGCATCGTCAAAAAATAAAAAGTAAATATAATTTATTTTTAAACTTTATTACTGGTTATACTAATTATATTTATCAGAGGTCAAAATTATTTCTTCGCTTTTTCTATAATTTTTATGTTTTCTTTTTTCCTCTTTTCATACTTAGACCGCCATGTATTTTGAAATTATATTATACTCTTAGCGAATACAGAAAAGTCTCAAAACGAAAGTATGAAACAATGGAAGGTAACCCACATATTTTTTCAAATTTTTATAAGCAATTAAAAAAAAACCATTTGACCGATTTTAGCTAAGAAAAAATTACACAGGGTGTCCAAAAAGGAAGGAATTAGCCAAATATAATTAGAAATTCGTATAGAATCAAAATTTTAATAACATAACAAAAGGCATTTTAAAAGAGACATTCAATGATATCAAGATGGCTCATCCAACTAACTATTTAGGGGTAGTATTGCGAAGACTGTAAAAAAAAAAAAAAAAAAAAAAAAAAAAAAAAAAAAAAAAAAAAAAAAANAAAAAAAAAAAAAAAAAAAAAAAACATGGTTTAAGCCAGGGAATAAACAGAGCTCTTTCAAGGTGAGAATTTTGAAAGTTTCTAACACATGGTGAGTTTGATTGGTTCTATCACTTTGCTTTTCTTCCATGAAAATTTTATATTTGTTAGGGATTTTTTAAATTGAATGTTTACATTTTAAACATTTTATATTAGTGTAACATAATATATTTAGGAGTTTAAGATGTATAAAAACATTTGTTTTTTTTCTCTCCAAATTATACGTGTTTTTGTGCAAATAAATGCATTTAAACAAGAACAAGAAAAGAAAAGTAAATCCTATAATAAATTAAATTTTATCAAAATTAATGTCCGAATTCTAAAATTACGCTAACTAGTAAAACTAACTAGTAAATAAAAACAGTTATGAGTTTTAGAGTACTTTACTTTCAGTATTTTTCTATTTTCTTTTCAAAATCAATTATGATAAATATGAAACAAAAGTTTTTCATCTTTATTAATTATTCGAAATTACCCAAGATTTCTAATTTTCCCAAAACTTTAAGTTGATTTCTATAATCTATATTCCTTGATTTATTCCCTTAATGTTTAATTTCCTGATTTTCTGCAACTCTACCTGGGGGGGGGCAACATTAAAATCTTAAATCAGAATCCCCCATTTTTTTAATGCAGTTTCAGATTTATCATTAAAAAAATACCCCGATTTAACTTGCAGTCTTCAGCATTATCGCAATAAATGAAACTGAGGCAAACATTGT